CTTGGATTCAGTTTTTGAGTATCTACTAAAAATACACTACATATAAGAATTTTTGCATATTGACACATTTTTCAGCACTGATCAGTCATTTGCACCCAGTTGTTATAAGGAAGAAATGATCTTGTCTTAATTCTTGGAAATTCTGGAAAAAGTTATTGGTGCTACATTCCTATGATCGTATGCTACCATTCATACTTGCTTATATGTCAATGTACTTTGTACTTTTCCTGAAAATTTGATGTTATAAGTGCAATATAACAAATATTTGATAAATCTTTGTGCTACATTCCTATGATCCTATGCTACCAGTTATACTTGCTTATAAGTCAATGTACTTTTCCTGAAAATTTGATGTTATAAGTGCAATATAACACATATTTGATAAATCTTGTATCCCACAGCTTGTAAAGACTGCATCTGCTTTGTTTTCCCATTTCACAATCATTTCATTGAAGCATGAATTTGATAATTGTGACCTTAATTCTTTAGCTTGTAAAGGCAGAATTTGCTTTTGTTTTTCCTAGTGGACATTACTTTGATTGAGCTTCAAATTTGATACATGTTTATTGCAATGTACAGTATTACATGTATATGCAGTTAAATGGAGGAGCTTATTTCAACTCTCTTAGATTACATCACACAATTGACGCCTGTTACGTTGTGGTGATCTTTTAACAAGACTATATGGTCATAGTATCAATTTTACAGAATCTAAGCTCAGTCTCTAAATAAATAATGGCCTTGTGTCAAATTGTCAGTGTTTTGTCAGCTAAAGGGTACCTTTTCACTTGGATTGCTGAAGTTAGGTAGTTAAACTATTATTGGGGAAAAACTGTAATGTTTACAGTGGAACATACAAATTAATAGATATATCTTTGCAGAGAAATAACTGCTGCAGAACATAAATTTTGTGCATCAGAGAAACATGAGCATGACTGATGAAAAAATTAACTCAGCCATTTATGAGAGTGTATTTGAAAAAAATTAGAGTACTGGATAGTCCTTATGCAAAATAGGAAGGTAGTTTGAATGGGTGTCTTCAGAACAGCATCAAAATAGGCATGTGGTCACTAGAAACTCCATTTGACTGAAGGCTTTTTATCCCGATAAATCAAATGGTGATGGTTCATTTAAAATTTCAGCTGGATGCTGTACATGATTCGTGTGACATTAATGACTTGCACACAGCCGATAATGTTGGTATTTGTGAAAATGAGGATATTTTCATTGTTTATTTAAGTTGGTTGTAAATTAGAAGATACAATGATTTTATTCCAGCCAATATCAGAAATAAGGTCATAATTCCAATGCATTTTCATATGTTAGGAAATTGTACTATACACACAGTTAAAAATACTGCAACAATAAAGAGTAGTGGAAATGAGAAACAGCATTTCAATGTCAGATTAAGTAATTTAGCCAATGGCATGATACAGAAGCCACTGCTTGTATTAAAATGCAAAACTGCCTAAAGAAAAGATGCTAAGTAGGGTTGTTGTAATTTTTAACCCTAAGGGATGGGTAGATGAGGCAATTCGTTTGGTCTTGATTGAGAAAGTATGGAATACTAGACCAGGTATATTGTTGAAACCTAAGGCATAGCTTGTGTAGGACATATTTTGAGTCCCTTTTGATGCAGTCTGTGTAACAGAAGTTGTTGTTAGACACTAAACATCTTTTCAATCTCTCACAAATGCTTGACAAAATTTTATCAAAATGATGTAAGTGATGACGAACTAATCCCCTTTAATGATCATTTGATAGTTATTAATATTAGGAATATTGCCACAATATTTCAGGAAGAGCTGGAGAGGGATAAAAGAATCACATGGCTGATAGCTTTTTATGCTGCCTGGTCCCCAGCTTGTGTAGCCCTGGCACCAAGTTTTGCAGAGATATCAGCTGAGTAAGTTTCAAGTGTTCAACATTTTGCTGGCAAGACACTAAACATCCTCCCAATCTCAAACAAATGCTTGAGAAAATTTCATTAGATTACATAACAATTACTGAAGGGCTTGATACAGGGTTGGTTCTTTGACAACTCAATAGATTTTCAGTGACTAAATATGAAAAAGGACTGGCAAATTTCTGTTCAAAATTTGTCAGTTACTGATTGCCTATTTTAGGAAAAAGCCCTTTAATGAACTGCCCTCACTTTGTTTTATTTATTGTTGTAGATAAATGCATGGTAAGATAATCTGATTATAAACAAGGGATAACTCAATTTATGATCACTGTAATAAAAACACTGTCCCAGTCAAGTGAGTTTTTTTTTTTAATTATTTCCCTCAATTTATGATCACTTACTTTAATAACAACAGTAATTCAATTGGGGTAAAATTTTGTGTCTACTACTCCAGGGACAAATACATTTCAGAAATCTAATATATGTATTCCAGTCCACCACCCATATTCATATTATCTGATCATATATCAAAACAATTTCTAAGCTAGATTGTACAGAAACTTAAAACATTTGATAGTAGTCACTGGCTTATGTCCCATTATGGACAATACTAAAAACCTGTTTCAGATGCTAATTTTTTAGATATGTATTTTAAAATAAATGTATGCTCCAGGTTATAGTAATTTTGTCTACATTTTAACAAAAGAAAGAGATTGTGCTTTTGTTTATTTTATTGCTTTTAAAATATTGTAAAATTGGATGATGACATCATTAAAATATTATTGAAATATGAACACAGTAAACCCCAGTAATACCACACTGGCTTGGGTCCACAAAGTTCCATCATATTTTGTAATGTGAAGTGTCAAGATAAGTCTGTAAACTGGATAAAATGTTATATAACTTGCAGTGCCAAAACAAGTCAATAAACTGGATAGAATACTTTGTTACATGCAGTATCTAGACAAGTCAATAAACTGGATAAAATACTTTGTTACATGCAGTATCTAGACAAGTCAATAGACTGGATAGAATACTTTGTTACATGCAGTATCTAGACAAGTCAATAGACTGGATAGAATACTTTGTTACATGCAGTATCTAGACAAGTCAATAAACTGGATAAAATACTTTGTTACATGCAGTATCTAGACAAGTCAATAAACTGGATAGAATACTTTGTTACATGCAGTATCTAGACAAGTCAATAAACTGGATAGAATATTTTGTTACATGCAGTATCTAGACAAGTCAATAAACTGGCTACACTCTTATGTACCATGCATGAGTTCGAGTCCAGACTCAGCTAATGTGGGTAAGTGAGAAAGCCTGCCAGTAGCTTCTTGTGGGTCGTTGGTTCTTCCGGGAGTTTTCCAGGGTTCTTCCTCCACCATTAATACTGGTTGCCATGTATAGCCTATCTTGTGCTGCAAAATGGCATTACCCAACAACAACAACAACAACATGTACCATGCTGCATCAAGACAAGTCAGTTAAGTAGATAAAATGTTACAGGAGTATTCTTTTATCTATACAAGATGTTCTTGATGGAACAAATTTTGTTACCAATAATAAAAATGCCATTAAGGGACATTATGATTTTCAAAATGAGGAACTTGTATTTAGAATAATCAAAATAAATTAACTTAATAAACTCTTATGTGAATATTTTACCTCATAATGTACATCAGATTAAAATAGCAAAATTTCCTCAGATTATCTGTAAATACATATAGCACAGTATGATCTCATTTGGTTTCATGCATAAATAGTGATCTTTGCCCAAAAAATTCAAGGATGTCAAGGGTGCATTTATTGGTTGATAGAGTAGGCATTATTGGTCTTTTGTTCACTTAAAATTGAACAACAGTTTACACAATGCAATGAAGATAAAAATAATGAAAAATTATTATCATTATTGTTTATGTTTGAATCCAATTTGATGAACAATTATCACATTTTGTAAGAGTGGACATATTTTCTTAAAGTAACAGTTAAGCTGTCAACAAAGTGCTGTGATGTACAATTAAGATATTTGAAACAAACATTCACATAAATTTTTACATCCTTATTTGTTGAAAGAAAGACAAACATTTTTTTGTTTCAAATATTTTTTTTTTAATTATACAAAACATCACATCAAATTAGGAAATAAATCTCATTTACTTTGGCATTTAACTTTGCAGTAATTCAGAAATCATTTGAGAGAAATTATCAGATACCTTTGATAAACTGATTGCTAATGAAAAGCGTATGACTGCTTTAAAACATTCTCAATCTTTCACAAACAAAAATCATGTTTTTGCTAGGGTTGTTTTAACAGAACTCACAGACTGTTGACTTCAAAAAGTCAGTACTCTGATATTTAAGCTAAAATGTAATAAATTTGATTCTAACATTTTAAACTGGTTCTCATCTCATCTGTGTGACAAGACAGATATCATCAGAAAGGTTTAGTGTAGCTCAGTGAAAATAATCAAACGTGTTCCTAAGATGATGCTACTATAGTTAAATCTGTAATGCTTCAGTTACTGTAGATGCTGTATTATACAACAATATGAGAAATATCAACAACTTTTATGAGTGATAGGTGACAGTGAATTAATAGACTGAAAGGGGAAATCCAAGTGATCTAAAGTGCTCACCATTATCAATCACTGCCATCTTACCTCTGTCTGCACGAGTTTGAGTCTCGGGGTTCAGCAAATCTGGGTATATGAGAAAGCTTGCTTGTGGATTGGTGGTTTATTTTGGTATTCCCAGGTTCTTAATCCAACCTTTTATAGTGGCCGCCATGTATAGCCTATCTTGTGCTGGAAAATTTCATTAAATCCTACGACAACAACACCAATAGGCTGAGCAGAGCGGTCTCATACACATACTGTTAGAAAGTGGCAGACTGGATATATCTGTATTGAAACAGATCTCATTTTTAGATAAAGACTTGTTGTTGACCCTGATTTACAAGCACATTATGGGATTTCAGATTTAGGTCTGTCTTTAAACATAGTAGTTTATTTGTCAGTGTAGACCCAGATTTTCTGGCACATAATGGGATGGCATATTTAGATTAACACTTTTTACAGTTTGGTATGACCACTCTGGTGGCCTAAAAGTGGTTAGAGTGTTTACCTTAAATGCAGAAGGTGACTGGTTTGAATCCTGGCCAAGTCATACCAGAGACTTATAAAAATGATACTAGCAGCTGTCTCCTTTTGTGCTTAGCATTAAGAGGTCAGTTATTAGGACTGGATAGCCTGGTGTCAGGATAATGTGAGTGGGTGGGACATGATGCCACATGTTTTTAGCATGATGCCTCAGTGCTAGACTTAACTATAAACTGCCACACTGCAGATGTTGTAGCAATATGACTTAGATTGTTCAGGCTACATTAAAAATATAAAAATCAAAAACACAGTTTGGTATGTTGTACAGGGATAACTATATCTGTCTATACATCATTGTTGTCACTGATCTACTAGTGCATTATGGGAACATTTATTTAATTTAAACTATCATTGGTAATGTGTGATACAGGAATAAGTATGGCAGTTTAATACAACTGACTTTGGTATAATTGGGGATGATTTGGTCATAAAACATTTTTATAACCTCCAGGCTATCAAAAGGGGTCGGGATAGGGAAAAGAAAGTGAAAGGGGACCAGTAAACAAGTTACAGCTTAGGATGTGCAGCTCTGAATCTTATCTTGATTTATTCTGAGTTTGAACTAAATGCAGGAAAGCTTATGCATGCCGTACCCCTAGTGTTGTAATTCAGCATCTGCATTAAAAAATATGCACTTCATGTTTATGTCAGTTTCTCAGACACCTTATATGTGTATTCATCCTAATAAGTACTATACCACAATACCATGAGTAAGTCACTGTGACCTGATGTTTATGGTCCAGAAATCAATGTCCACTTTATGTTTAGGTCAGTTTCTCACTTGTTTGCACTGTCACGAAACCTTATATGTGTTTACATTCCTTTGAGTACTACACCACAATACCATAAGTAAGTCACTGTGACCAAATGTTTGTGGTCCAGTAATCGTTTACACTCTGTTTATTTAGATCAGTTTCTTGGACACCATTACTTTATATGTACATGTATCCAGAGGAGTAATAACAATTATAACAAAAGGTCGTTGTGACTTCCTTTTTATGCTACAGCCATCACGTACATTTTATATTTGTCATGTTCTGGGAAACCATTGCCTGTAAGAAAAGGCTTTACATGAATCTTAAGGAGTACTACACCACCATACCAAAAGCAGGTCACTATCACCTCTTTTCCATTCTCCAGTGATCATGTATACTTTTTATGATTAAGGAAAGTTGCACAAATACTGTTGCTGTTATACATGATACCTAGTATATGCATGTATTATAAATACTAGGTCATTGTGACATATTGTTAATGCTTCATTTGATGTTCAGGTAAATCTGTTCAATGCTTTTGCTTGTACAGTTATGTATTATGCTTGGACAGTATGTAATTGGGGATACTCGTGGAGTAATTGTTGAAAACATTAGGGTTTCCCCTCTGAAATATTAAAAGTGTGTTTTTTTGTGTTATGTAAATTACTTGCTTAAAATATTTTGAGTTGTTATTTGTTAATAGTTTTTTAATTTCATTGCAGATATCATTTAGAAAATCTCAGATTTGGAAAATTAGATGTCAGTAAATATTCAAAAGTGGGAGAAAAGTAAGTACTTATTAACAAAAATCCATCCAATACTTTGTGGCTTATTCAGTATTATAGCAACTAATCTGATGTTATGTGGCTAAGCAGAATGATAAAAACCAGTCATGTAATGTGGTTTATTCAGTATGATAGCAACCAGTCTGTTATGTAGATTATTCATTATCATAGCAACCAGTATGATGTTATGTGGTTTATTTGGTATCATAGGAACCAGTGTAATAATAAATGGTTTATTTAGTATTGTAACATCCAGTATTAATGGTATTTGTTTTTCTTGGAAATAAATAATTCTTTGTAGAAAATATTCAAACTCAGAAATAATGGATAAATTTGGAGTGATTTACTGAAATGTGTACTGCAATTTTGTCATTTTAATCAATTTTTTGCAGACAATTCATATTTTCCATTTAGTAATGTAAGTCAGATGTACAACAGCAGATATTTACTTTTATAATTTACAGATAATTATCAGATCTCATTTTAAGCCCACTCTTCCCATAGTACCAGTTTTCTTTAGCATTCTATATTCAGAATGCATTTTCTGAAAAAAAATCAGAATGTAAAGTTGTGTGTTTCTGAATTGCATAATATTATCATTTTACACCTGCAAATATGAATGGTAGATGAATTCCATAATGTTGTAAGAATCAGCTTACCTTAGACGGTGCCTTCAAAATTTGTAAGTACTTGCTTGATTTATTTAATAGTTTTTACCAATATCTTTTGCATCAGATATAATACATTTTGTGTCTATTTCATTTCAGATTTAATATTAACTCTGGCTCTCTGTCCAAGCAACTTCCAACATTAATTTTGTTTCAAAATGGAAAAGAGAAAGAAAGAAGACCTTTTATATCTGCGAAAGGGACTGTTGTCAGATTCAAGTTCACCAAAGTGAGTTTTCCTTGAATATTATAATACTGTATATGGTTTAGTACTTATTTGAAATTCTGTTGTTGCTTTTCAGTTGCATTCTATTTAGGTTGTAGATTTATAACTCTCTAGCCTTAATCTGCCATATTTATTATATATGTTGGGACACCATATATTAGTTTTGAAAGTAATTTTTTGTGCATTGTATGTTCTGATACACAGGATTTTTTTTCATTGTAAATTGAGGGACACCTTTAAAATCATTCAAAACTTACGTGTCGGAAATTGCACTCAAACTGAAATTTTATTTTGAAAAATATAAAACTGTACTTAAGATAAATTTTTAATTGACTGCAGCAGCGTCTCATCAACACAACCATTCTCCTGCACATGTTCAATCCATTCTTTCGGTGCATGAATAATTTGTTATGTTTCTCATACCTTGAAAAATTATCATTAGACATCACCTGAAGCAGAAACTGCAAGGACTAAGGACAGATTTTTTCAAATCTGCACCACTTGTGCTAACTCTCACACTTTTGACCCCCCCGTCTTATACTCAGTATGTCCAGGAATGAGATCAAAGTACACTTGAATTTCATCCATGTTAATGATCATATTGTTGGCAAAATCATCTACTTCTCTTCTGGCCTTCAAGAATTCATCACATGATTTTTTTTTCTCCAAATCTTCTGGGCAGTGCTGGGTCATCGTTGTGCATGCATGAAGCACCATATTGTGTGGCTTTAAAATTTGTTCCATTGTTTCAATTTATTTTCAAAATTCTCCTGAATGCTAGTGAAAATGAACCAAAGTTAGCTTCCATATCTGGGCTGTCTTTTATATGTTAAAAAAAATAATTACAAAAATTGGCACACTTAAAAAATCCAAAGTGGGCTTTCAAGGTCAGCTTGCTTTGCAATACTTTCCAAAACTTTGTATTGATATCCTTTTAAAAAAAATAAGAAAAAAAATGACTTCAAAGTATCCAAAGTCAGCATTAGAGGATGGCTTGCTTTATAATAAAAGTAACATTTGTCTTTGATGTCCTGTCGGTAAGTTCAAAGAATCATTTTACTGCTCACAGCCAGTTGTGTTTTTTCTTCACCCAGGCTTCTATGTGCTTGGCATCTTTAGTTATAATTGATACAAATGGGTATTTATGTTTGCAGGTAAATAGTATACAAAACAATAACTTGCTTTGCTTTAATGATACTTTTGTAACCTGTGCTAATGAAAAGATTGCCACTTGCACTTAAGTGAATAATGTTTGTTTTTGCGAGATACTGTCATATAGCTGACCTGGATATAATTCATTTTTGGTTTTTTTTGCACCTAACACCATGTCATGCATGAATGATAGTTGCCTTCAAGATATTGGTTGATTATTTCCCTTTTGTTTGTGATTTTGTTGGATCCACTTTTCCTGCAGATAACATATTCAAACTTTTGAGCACATCCAAACATGATTTGTTTCTCAATGTTTATGTCAGTGAGCATGTCATTTGATTGGTTCATTGGGTCCTGGAACAAGCATTTTATGGCAGTTTTCATCATGGAAGCATTACAAATGCCTGTTTCAAATAAGGGCCACACAGGAAACCAAAATGGCTGAATCACAACATGGTTTGTCATCAGACAACGTTTTCAGTCAGCAAATACTTGCTGGTAATAGCTATCACGACAATGAATTTGATCAGTCTGTTGGACATTGGGAAAATGTCGCTGGAAATACCAGTGTGTGATTTTGATGTTGAGTACAAATCTGATGTACATGTTGGATGGACAGGATGCCGGTATTATTTATTCAAGATATCCATGTCTGAACAAGCAGACTATGGGAATGTTGGACTTAAAATCCTAATACATCATTATGGAAGAGAAAGAAATCTGGATTAAGAAGCAGAAAAGCACTGATTCAGTTAAGTGAATCTTTGGCCGAGTTCATGTTAGTGAAAACTTTTCTTTCTGGAACAGAGATATCAAAGAGAGAATACTATTTGAGCCATACCTGTGAGATGTTGAGAATTGCACAACCATAAAGAGTAGTAACTTGTTCAACCTATTTATCCATATGCATTTCAGACAGCAGGCAACGAAAGGGTGTTCTTAGCACAGAATAATATCCATATACAGACAGAGGAGGATGATCATATGAAATTCAGAAATAATCAACAGATTAATTCTCATAGGGAACATCAGGGAATCCTCGTACAACATAATTAAGTTTGTGTAGATCTCTAGTTGGCAGAACCACTATAGCAACAAAAGAATGACAAGACTAACTTTCATATCATATGAATGTATTGGTATTGCCGAATGAAGTACTTGCTCTCTATATGCAAAAATTGAATGACATTAAACATAAGAAACTGACTGAAATGTGTAAACTCACAGCAAGATGGATACAATTTGTCCTGTTTTTGTTTGGTTATTCCTATGCATGTTTTGAGAATGTTGATATTTTCTGTAGACCTTTTGGCATTTAGTTCCAAGCCATCATTTGGTATTTATATTACAAATTTGATTACTGTTATCTAGTACACAACATTTAACTAATGATGAAATTGATGAAAAAATACTTGATTTCA